AAATTTTATAGATATAATTAATCTAATCATGTTAAAATCTTAGAAAAAATATCATTTATAATATAATATCTATTATAAAAATTATCTATAGATCTTATATGAGATCCATTTATTTTTCATCCAAAATTCAATGTTCTAATATATAATTTTAATCGATATTATAGAAACAATCAAAATATATAGAAAATTTCGCATTACACCAAATCATTCAATTCAGAAATATACTCAAAAAAGATTATTTCTTGTTTATATTTTTTAAATTTAAGTAACCATCAAGATTGTTCATTTTTATTGAATTTCATGCGAAATTAATTTAGTATAAATTCATATTTTTTTCCGAGATTTCCTTTCGAATATATCAAGATAACTACTTCTTCTTTAATAATCCAGAATCCTTATAATATCGACTATAATCAAATCACGAATTCAATATAAGTTCGTATAGATTATTTGCCAATATAAGAAAAACAGACTTATATTTCTCATAAAAGTGCAATCCCTCCCCGGGACGGGTCTCCTGCTTCCATGGTCACATCGGAGAGTTCATCAGGTGCCCGGCAACCTATCTTAAGTTTTGTTACGGTCGGGCCGATGCGCCTCGGAGGATGACAGGGATGTTTCATCCGCATTTCTGTGGGCGTCATGGGGCACAGAAGGTATCTCTCGTCCTCTAAGTGAGTCGGGGCGTGTCGACGATTCCACTGCCTGGGTGTGTCGGGCGATGAACAGTCCTGGAGCAGCAGGGTTGGGGCAGCCTCGGGACTCAGGGGCTTTGTTGTCGGGGCGCGTCCAACGGTCAGGCTCATCGGTGGCGCAGGAGTCGGAGGAGACTCCCTGACATCCACATCTAGATTATCCTCCTGCTGCGAGAGGTCAATGATTGGGACCCTGGCAAGAACTGGAATCTCTGGTTCAGGTGCAGCAGTTCACCTAGTTCAGGAGTCCCTGGCCCCGGCAATGCAGGTCCGGGGTCGATAAGCTCGCTCGCAGTATCCCCAGTCTAATCGGCTCAGGATCCAGGTTCTGAGAGGTGAGATGGGAGAGGTCGTTTGGCACAACATTACCTGGCTTAGCCAGGTGCGGGGGCCCCAGGTCCCAAAACAGATTTGAAAATTCTTCGGACGGTTTAGGAGCCTCAGTACCCATGCCCACCCTGGAAGTGCTGGCATCATCATCACCCCCTAGTTCTTCTTCATCGGCATCAAGGCCCATAACTGTCCTGTTGGTCGCTGGGTCAACCTCACTCGAGAGCAGTGTGGGCACTTCCTGTCCCCCATCTTCTTCAACACAGTCAGAAGAGAGGCGCGCAGCAACCCCCCCCCGCGCGCGAAAGCGCCCTGTTGGTCACAAGTCTGTTCTGACACTACTCGATGAGGCCCAGTGGCTTGCTCCCATCTCTCGCTCTCTCGTCGCTCGGTACCCAATTGCCCCAGGCAGGAGAAGTGGGGGCAACTGTGAGCGAGTGAGACAGGACCAAGACGGGACTCACCAAGAAAAAGGTCAGCAGTTCACAACCATTGACGTGCTGCTTTTGTGAAGGGCCGCCTCGTCCGGAAGCACTCGAGCCGAAACTTGAGCCAAAATGGCTTGAGC